AATCGGGTCCTGATTAGCCTCCCAAAGTTACAACTCATTTGGTTAGAAACAGACTTCGCACAAGCCATTTGAAGTTTACATGTAAATTACTATGGGAAATCTCAACTTTTTGTTCATTGCTTTCTAGTCTTTTTCCATATTGAGCTGCGAAACGGTTCGATAGCCATTCTTAAAGAAAATTTTCTCAGCTACAACTTTGCTGAAGATCGAAGAGACAGGAAAAAGTTATTAATTATGTAAGAGATTGGTAAACTTATGACATGATCAAGCAGTTGCTCTGTAGGCAACACTGTATTTTGCAGTGTGACATAGTAGCCATGATTTTTGTGTCCTATTCAACGCCCCAGAAACACCAATGTTGCCTGCTGAGCAGTTGATTGAGCATGATCATAAGACATCAGCGCATTGAACCATTGATAACTTTCGATCCTTGCATTTAATCAAAAAGTGGTCTTGAGCCAAGTTGTAGCTGGGAAAATTTCCTACAAGTACAATTGAAAGCTTTGGAAGCAGACCGATATGGTGAATTATTAGATAGACATGAACAAAAATCTTGGTTTTACCATAGTAATTCCCATACAAACTTCAAATGGTTTGTGCCATCTCAGTTTCTCACCAAATGGGTTCAAATTTTGAGAGGTTAGTCAGGATCCGATTTGGAATCGTTTAAGTATTGTGGAGCGAAAAAGTCAAATTTTGCATCAGTCTACTGTGCACCGATCAAAATATTTTCTGCCGGCGGCGAGACCGCGTGGGTCGACGAGAGTTTATTTTTAATGATTTAGAAAAAAAATATCCAAACCAATCGCACATGAACAAAAAATGCTACCCACATAGAGTTCAGATTACTCAAAACCGCTAAAATGTAGGTCACTCATACTTTGAGTAAATTTACCGACACTTTCCCGGGGTAGTTTTTGCCATTATATTTTCTTCGTCTTACGGATAAACGTAGAAAAAGGGGATTCGCTAGGAACGCTTCGTTTGTTTGGATAACAATGAGCGTAAATATTCATACAATGCGCTCCTATAGGATTTATGTAGTAGCTAATGAACTAACGCATCGGAAAAAAATCTATTATTGATTTGTGCACGGTGAAATCATTGATATTATTGATCTTTTCTGATCGATAGAACGGAAATGGACGATTACAACGAAGTAGCGCACTACCCTACTGCATTTGGAAGTTGAGTGAATATACAATGGTTGCTATGATGAGTTTTCACCGTTTGACCTCCAGTTTTCAAAATAACGTCCAAGCAAGAGGAGCAGCGTGTCAAAATTTTGCTCGCGCAGCAAGAGAATCCGACGTTCTCACAGCGTTCTCGCAGCGGTCCCGAAAACTGTATACGAATTTGCTCACAAAGTTCGACTGTGTCGTTATGGACGACGAAACTTATGTGAAGACGGATTTCAAGCAGCTTCCGGGACAGGAGTTTTATACCGCACCAGGAAAAGGGAAGGTGGCTGAAATTTTCAAAAACCAACAAACTATCGAAGTTCCCGAAAAAATATCTCGTCTGGCAGGTCATATGCACGTGTGGTCTAAAAAGCGGTATTTTCATTACTACGGGAACCATCAATCAAGGGATCTACGTCCAGGAGTGCCTGGAAAAGCGGCTGCTACCATTCCTAAAGCAACATGTTAGACTTGTGCTGTTCTGGCCGGACTTGGCGAGCTGCCACTATGGGAAAAAGGCAACCCTCCCAACAGCCCAGAACTCCGCCCTATCGAACGGTATTGGGCCTTGGTCAAACGAAATCTCAAAAAAAAACTAATTAATTCATGGAAAAGGAGCAGCAGTTTAAATCTAACTGGCGTTCGGCGGCGAATAAGTTCGATGGGACCACTGTGCAAAAATTGAAGGAAGGGTTTAAGCGGAAGGTACAGCAGGTGGGATTTGGCAAACCAAAAGAATAAACGAACATTTTTTATCCTTTAAATATATGAATTGAACTACCAAAAGAAAAATAAGAAGATTTTAGTGATATGGATTATTACTGAAAGGAACGGTTTTTTTGTCGACCAATTTTTGCGCGTACCAGTCTTTAGCTCCAACGATTAAGGCAAAAATCATGCAGGAAGTCAAGGTGGTGGACGGTTCAAAATTATCTGAAAGCGAGGGTGCTGAGTAGCTGTTGTGGCAAAAGGATCGGTGAAGCTGGAGGCAGATTGCGGTGAAGCGACCTGGGACCTCACAATGAATAGTGTCCTGTGCGTGCCTGACCTGGCGATTGATTTACTTTCCGTAAGCAAGGTATGCCAGAAGAGGTTCAGAGTAATTTACACAATGGAGGAGTGCAAAGTTGTCAATCCTGATAACGAAGCACTTACGGTTAGTCATATCATGTTATCTACAAGCTGTCCGGAATGAAGAAGTCCGTTGTGAATTTGGTCCAATATGACAGATTCGGCATCTGCCAGTGGATTGAAGCGATTGAAGGAAATGGTAACAGGATTGGAATTCGAACTGAAGGATTCGGCGTAGTGCATATTCTGTATATAAGCTGAACATTGTCGTCAACCATTCAAGGCTAATGGACACCGAGACGATCCTGTGTTGAAACTCATCCACTCGGACTTGTGCGGTCCTATGGATACAGAGTCGATGGGAGGCAAGCCGAAAAGCAGTTGTATATTTCCTAAAATCAAAACGGAAGTGGTCGAATCGGTTCAAGACTACAAGGCAAACGGGAGAAAGGATTAAGCGAATTCGGATGGACAACGGCAAAGAGTACGTCAACCGAAGTTTTGGAACCTTTTTGCGGAAAGAAGGAATTCATCATGTGACGTATGTTCCCTTCAATCCGGAGCAAAATGGATTAGCGGAAAGGATGAATCGTACATTGGTCGAAAGAGCGAAGAGTATGCTGAGTATGTGCCGAAGGAGAAATGAAAGAAGTGGGACAAGAAATTTGAAGCGTGTATGTTTGTTGGCCACAGTGAAACTTCGAAGGCGTATAGGATATACAACAGGAAGATCAAGCAGATTATCGTCAGCCGAGACATCCTTTTTGCGGATGAATGTGAAATTAAGCGTTGTGCGTCAGCAGGTGATTCATCAGAAGACAATGCAGAAGAAATCGAACTCGTTATTCAGAATAAACAAATCGAAGTCTATGATCAGACTAGACCAACTGAGGCTAAAGAAGAATCCAAAAACTAAGTTGCAATCGAAAATCTCCTGTATGAAACGGTCTACAACGATGCAGATTCGATGGTTGATGAAGACCTATAACCTTTCGTGCTCCCTCCACAACAAGAGGACCCACAATTGTTGGCAAGGCGCAGTGTGAGGGAGCACACTACTCCAGGCAAGTATCGTACTTATATCATGAGCTGTAATACTCTTCCTGAAAGTTAACAAAGTGAAGACAAATTAGGATGGATCGTTAGAGCGATACAAAGCCCGCCTAGTCATCAAGGGCTTCTCTCAGGTCAAAGGCGTCGACTGCAATGAAACCTTTTCACCTGTTGTTCGGTACGCCAACATTCGTTACCTTATGTCAATGACCGCAAAAATGAACCTCAAGATTCACCAAATGGATGCAGTGACGGCATTTCTGCAAGGAGATTTAGATGATGAGGACATTTACATGATTCGTCGACCCTACTTCACCCAGGAAAGTTTGCCGGGTGAGGAAAGCTGCTGAGTTGAAATGCATTGGTTTGAAGCGATCCGCTTACGACACATGCGTGTACTTCAAGATTAAAGATGGTTGCATGTTGCTGTGCACGTGGATGATTTGCTGGTATTTTCGAACAACCAGCAATGGGTGGACATGTTGAAGAAAGAATTGATGACGAATTCAAAATACTTAAAATGCAGATGATTAGAGATCGTAATCGAGTGATGATAGATCAGGATGGTTACATCAATACTCTGCAAAACCGAACTTTTTGTCAGTGCGAACCTCAACCTGAGCTAGGTTTTAAAAACAAAGGATCAAACTGACGTTTGCCAGAAAACAAGCAGACCCGATCTTGAAACCCGATCCAGGTTAGAACTGAATAATAAACAAATTCACTAAAAGAAATTTGTCATAATATCGAAGAGGGACGTAAGCCGATGGAAAATGTGGTCAATAAGTTTTGTCAGGACCCAGGAAAGGCGCATTAGATAGCAGCGAAAAGAATCTTACGATACTTGAAGAAGACGCCATCGATGAAACTAACTTACTCGAAGCAGTCAGATGAAGGTTTTGTCGGCTACAGTGATGCGGATTGGGGAAACAACTCCGATACACGTCGATCAATCACTGGTTACGTCTTCAAGCAATCAGCTGGTGCAATATCAGTGCGTACCGATGGATCTCAATCTCTCAAGCACACCGGAGTTGCGGCTGATCGAAAGATACTGGGCTATAATGAAGCACGAACTCCGTAAGCATCCTAAAGTTGTCACTATCGAGTAGGAAATGTTGAAATCATGGTTGAAGCAGAAAAAAACGCCGATTCAACCGTTGTACAAAACCTTATCGGTGGAATTAAGAAGAAAATTCGGGCATTTACATTTGGTGATACGTAAACCAAGCATAGTATTACATTCCTTGAAAATTTCATGACAATCGGTCGAGAGACTTATTTTTAGTGAGTACTTCTAAGTGATGCAATTTAACTGTGGACACCCTTTACTTCTAAAACCTCCGTACTTCCTGGAGAAGACAAGCCCTCTCTGTTCGCCGATTACACTGCTCTCATCTACAAGGATTGTTTAATCAGAACACTAAGTCGATCTTCGATTTTGGATAGCGCATTTTGATCTTCAGGTCTGCTCATCAAGCAAATGTTCCCTCTTATCTGTTGAAAATCAAAACTGAGCCTGAAGAACAAGCTTGCTGTCTTCAAGCAAATCAACTAAAGCCCAGTGATTGAGTACGGGCTCCCTGTCAACTTATGTCAAAGATAGGCACTTGAAATGTAACAACAAATCTATCATCATTATCAATGGAAATGAAGCGTCATTTTGAAAACTGCTTATCTGAAAGTTGTACTCACCTGTCCGAAGTCTTGATGCAGAAACGTCACCGGATCGAGCTTGATCGGCAGAAAGGCCACATCGGGATACAGTATTCCATCACATTCGTGGATTTCCTTGTCCAATCGAGTCACTTGTTAATTATAATGCACACGTCACAGCAGCAGACGAAGAACGAGAACGAAAGAAAGAGAGAAAAGTTTCAAAATTCACATGAACATCGGGGGGAATGCAAAAATTGGATTGAAATTGATGCAATCAAAACATTACTCGTCGATATGGAGGCTGTGGAAAAAATCGAGAGTGAACGAACATGGCAGCAGACTCGATTCCATCGATCCGTTGCTCTCCTGGCCAATCCGACGCGGGCAGGTGCATTTGTTATCACTTATTTGCCTCACTCTCGGCATCCCCCTTGCCCCTTGTACTTGCGGCTACACAGCAATTCCGTCGAACTCGACCACCAGACTCCAATTAGAGGGAGAGTGTAGGAGAGTTTGGATTAAAGAAAAATACAACGAAAAAGAAGAGACGCGGTACAGATGGCAGTGGCCACACTGGTCGTGCCATCGATCGACCGTAAGAGAGAGAGATTGGAAAATATAAGAAAAATTTACTTTTATGTAAATTTATGCATGGAAATTATTTTGATTTCGTTTCGTTTTGGATCGTAAACAGCCATAAATTCAGACGGTATCCGAACCGAATCGATACCATTGCACTGGTAACTGGCTGCTGAGTTGGACAGAGCTATCAACAACTTGGCCAAGAGCTAGGCTGAGTAGTCATGGGCGGCTCTGTACACTTCTCAACGAACCCTTACTAAAAGTCCCTTTGGGTCACCCCCCCTGACTCCGTCAGTGGTAGTAGTTTAGTTTAGTGCTTTAAACTGCAATAATGTTTAATAGTGTAAACGCGTACGATCGTACTGGCATTCGAGCAGGGCCACAGCACCGTTAAACGGTGCATATATTGACGACTCCGCGATACGGAGCGAACGCAACACGCTGCTGACCAGGATTGGAAGGTATCGATCGAGATGTATCCATTCATGTGAAATTAAACATTGCAAGCAGAGATCCGGCCTGGTCGTGGTTAACATCCATATCTGCCACACTTTTTTTTTCGATTGCCAAAGCTATTGCACAAACTACACATCGGAACACAAATCCAATCCAATCATTCCAGAGCTCTTACCTGGTCGGTATTTGGTTAACTTTTTGTTGAACGCTTCCAGGTCGTACGTGCCGAGGCGGCCCAGCTTCGGTTCGGGAACGTACCGGCGGGAAAAGCAGCTCGCAATCACCCGGAAATATTTGGTTAAGCCCTGCAAATCGATTGTGGGATCTGAAATGGCAAAAAAAAAAACCGTATTAGACGATGGATGGTAGATGTAGGGTAGGGTGGGGTAAGATGGGTCACGGGGACAGCTAGTACATTTATTAACTTATTTGTTTCTCGAAATCTTTTTCAAACCCGCACTAGGGGCTTCAGTGAGCTTGATGATATTAGCAAACAATCGAATAATTAAAACAAGTAGACGACCCATCTTGCCCCACCTTACCCTGCATACAGAGAAACTGATATCGCTCGAAATGTTCGCTCGGGAAACAGTTTACAGTATGGATGTGAAAAAAGTCCCAACCCCCTAAGGTAAATTGTGAATCGAAGCACGGCAGGGAATCCAATTAGGCACACGTGATAAATCGAATGGAAAATATTGCCTGCCACAACAGATCCATATCCACGGGAAGGGCGTGACGCCAAATTGCGACAGATCATCGAGAAATGATGAAATTGGAAAATCGCAAATCGGATTTTTTGCTGAAGCAATCGTGTCTATCGCAGGAAAAAAAAAACAACTTCGACTGATTGATTGAGATTTATTCTTCGCTTCCAAGTGGCAACTTATTCATTACTCATGCTGTAGCAATAAGTCAGCCAACCAAACAATCAAACAAAGAACTTATTCTCCCAGGTCACGTTGCCTCGCCACACCATTGGTGGATAGCTAGTAGTTCATCGGTCGAAAATCTCCTAAAAAATAGCCTTAATTTGCTCGGATGGTTCCGAGTGGCGTAGGAAGGTAGAGTAGAAAAAGCTGAACCAAACACCGTTGGATGGGGCTGTGGATAATGATAAAGCGATTTACAAATAGCTGCTTTGCCTCGAAGTGATGTGGTGGCGTCCGGCTCTAATGCTTCCTACTTCCTACACACGGCTGCCAGTTCGGCACGAGAGACTTATTCCGTATTTAGTTCGATTTAAGCCAATACGATAATTCTTACGGTACTCACTGTTTATGGGATATGCAAATATTTTGGCTGCACCAGATTAGTTTGGAGGCCGTGCTACATATGATCCGGTAAATATGTTTAGCTCCGATATTGATTTTTGGCAAAAATGTAAGTCATTTCAGGCGGGACAGCTCCGAAAGCCGATGTGTTTTTTTTAAAATCAAAACTTACTAAATGCAGAAGTACCGATCAACATCCACTTCATTTATAAAATCTGTCCATCAAAATGCATAAGAGAATTGTTGGACGCACAGTGGTCCAGAAAGTCATTATCTCGTTGAATTTTGCATTTCAGACTGGTGGTGTCTTATTAGGGAAAGTTTCTGTATATGAAAAGTCTCTTCTTTTGGCATTGACAGATGCGAAGTAAGATCCAAAATGGATTTTTTTTTCAAAAAAAAATATTTTCAGGATTGGTGTGTTTGGCAAAGTTTTAGAAAATATCAAAACAAGAAACAACGCTAGGTGAATATTTCCTAATTTCATTGATATAAGGAATGTTTTTCGAGGAAAACCCAAGGGGTTAGTCACTCAGCACATTGTGCCGAAATTACATTCAGCACAGCTTGGGCACATCCATCGGCACACATTCGGTGAACCTTCGGCATACCTTCGACACAATCCCGTAGGCATTTGATTGTTGTAAATAAAAAAAGGGGGCACTGCTGGACAACTGTCATTAAAGTAGTTCACAACATTACGTACTGTTTGATTGACTCAGACCAGCAGTTCATTTATAGATCCGTTGCTTTTCACATCACGAAAGGCTAGGTTTCTGGTCTGCTTTTGAGGGCATTATAAAACCCTAAGACACAGGACTTTTATTATCAGATGAACACAAAAAAAACAAATTTTGCACACCCACCACTTCCCGCGTCATCCTCCATCCGATTTATCTTTGCGATTTAAAACCAAAACATTCAAGGTGTCAGAAATACCGGGTTTCCGGGATGGATATTTAACAAACAATCGCAGCTTGCTCTATGACCGGCACAATCGGCACACCTGTGGCACTCTTGCAGCACACCGATAGAAAAGATGACCAAGACTGTTGTGCGGAGTGACCTACCCCTTGAGAAAACTCATTAATAAAAGTTTTAACGGAAGAATTATTTTCTATACAATTCAACTGTTTTGTTACGCATAAATTTGATGAATATTATAGCTCACTAGATCGCAAAATAGGTAATTGTGTCACTTAATTACAATTTACTACCATTTCCCACCACAGCCCACGACAAAATCAATAGGAATAGAACTGTTTAAGTGCGTTTTATTCAACATTTCTTGCAAAAACATACAGAAACAGGAATTAGATGAGTTTTATTTAATGGAAAACCGTTCTTTTCGTATAAATATAACATATTCATTGCAGTTCATATTGCTTCGAACTAGTGTCCAAATGGCAAAACATTCTTCAAAACATCAGTATAGGGTGGGGTAGGGTGTCCCAGAAAGTATAAGCACAGTTTATTATTGGAACAAAACAATGATAATGACCACAAAATTTTTATTTCATATATATATATGTATATGTTCCCTATAGTATTCTCTTTCAATTGGATGAAAGTAATCCGTAGTCCCTTTGCCAAGGAGCGAACTTTTGATTTGACGCTGCCCATGAGCTTCAGCACATATTGGCGATAAATTTGGCAATTTTTCTTCAGTCTTTTTCAAATTCTTCGATTGATTTCGCTGCCTTAAAGTGTTTCCGTAGATATCCCTTTAAAAGAGCCCAAAATGTTTCGATTGGCCGGACCCTCCTGACAACTCGGAGGATTCATCTCTTTTGGCACGTCTTGCACATTATTTGCTTCGTACCAAGCTACCGTGTCTTTCGAGTAATGCATTGAAGGTAAATCTGGCCAAAATAGTACTGGGCCATCATGTAAACGGATCATGGGCCGCAGATGCCGATTCAAATACTCCCGAACGAAAATTTCAGTGCTCATCGTCTCCTTCGTCACAAGTGGCTTCGACAACTTTCCACACTCACATACCGCTTGCCAAACCATGGCTTTCTTACTAGGAGCACGCTTACCTTACCAATCAGGCTAAGGCCTTGTTGTCCTCTGCTCTCCGAAGAAGTCGTCTCCACTCTACTCGATCCATGGCCACAGTTCGCCAGCCTCGTAGTTTGCGAAGGGTCCGCAGGTCACCTTCTACTTGGTCGATCCACCTTGCCCGCTGTGCGCCTCTTCTTCTTGTTCATGTTGGGTCACTTTCTAGAACCATTTTCACTGGGTCGTCATGCGGCATTCTTACGACGTGCCCAGCCCACCGTAGTCGCCCAATTTTTGCAATGTGGACGATGGATGGTTCTCCCAGCAGCTGGTGCAATTCGTGGTTCATTAGCCTCCTCCACGTTCCGTCATCCATCTGCACTCCACCGTAGATGGTACGCAACACCTTCCGTTCGAAAAAACCAAGGGCGCGTTGGTCCTCCACGAGCATAGTCCAGGTCTCGTGGCCGTAAATCAGCGTCTAATCAGCGTCTTGTAGACAGTCAACTTCGTGCGGCGGCGAATTTTATTCGACCGGAGCGTCCTCCGGAGTCCAAAGTAGGCACGATTCGCTGCCATAATGCGTCTTTGAATTTCTCTGCTGGTATCATTTTCGGCGGTCACCAGTGAGCCCAAATACACGAACTCATCGACCACCTCGATTTCATCACCGTCAATCTGAACTCGGGGTGGGAGGCTAACATTGTCTTCCCTAGAACCTCTTCCTTTCATGTATTTTGTCTTTGATGCGTTGATGGCAAGTCCAATCCGTCAAGCTTCAGCCTTCAGTCTGATGTACGTTTCCGACATCATCTCAAAGTTCCGTGCCATAATGTCATTGTCATCGGCGAAACCAAGGAGCTGGATGGACTTCCTGACGATCGTGCCACTCGTGTCTATCCCAGCTCTTCTGATCACACCTTCTAACGCGATGTTGAACAGCAGACACGAAAGTCCATCAAATTGCCGTAGCCCCCTTCGAGATTCAAAGGGACTCGAGAGTGTCCCCGATACTCGAACAACGCACATCACTCGATCCATCGTCGCCTTGACCAATCGCGTCAGTTTGTCCGGAAATCCGTACTCGTGCATAGAATTTGGGAGAGTACCTTGTAGGCGGCGCTCAGCAGTGTGATCGCGCGGTAGTTGCAGCAATCCAACTTGTCGCCCTTTTTGTAGATTGGGCATACGACACCTTCCATTCACTCCTCCGGTAATATCTCCTCCTCCCAAATCTTGGCAATTACCCAGTGCAGCGCTCTAGCCAATGCTTCACCACCGTATTTTAATAGCTCACTTGGTAGTTGATCTACACCAGTTGCATTGTTGTTCTTCAGCCGACCGATCTCCTCTTCAACTTCTTGAATATCAGGGGCCGGTAGCCTGTCGTCTTCTGCGCGTGCTCCAAGGTCTGTTGCCGTGCCACCTTTGTTTTCTGTTGCTTCACCGTTGAGGGGCTCATCATAGTACTGCTTCCACATCTCAATCACCTCACACTCGTTCGTGAGAAGGCTACCGTCCAAGTCCTTGCACATATCGGCTTGCGGCACGTAGCCTTTGCGCGAACTATTCAGCTTCTCATAGAACTTCCGTGTGTCGTTTACGCGTTACAGATTTTCCATCGTCTCGCGATCTCGGTCTTCCTGCTGACGCTTCTTCCTTCGGAAAACCGAGTTTTGTCTGTTCCGCGCTTGTCTGTATCACTCCACATTCAATCTCGTGCGATGTTGCAGCATTCTCGCCCGTGCCGCATTCTTCTCCTCTACTAACAGTTTGCATTCGCCGTCAAACCAGTCATTTCTTCGGTCCGGGATTGCAGTACCTAGTGCCGCTGTTTGGCTGTTTGGCCCGATTGCCGGTCTATACATTGCCTCCCGTCCTACCTGAGCGTTCATGTCGCCGATGACGATTTTGACGTCCCGTTGCGAAAAGCCGGCGTACACCTGCTCCAGCTGCGCATAAAACGCTTCTTTCTCGTCGTCGGGTCTCCTATCATGTGGGCAGTGCACGTTGATGATGCTGTAGTTGAAAAAACGGCCCTTAATCC